CAAAATGAATAAATAAGTAATGAGGATAAAAGGTACAGCATAGGAAATATAGTCAATAGTATTCTAACAGCACTGCAGGGTGACAGATGGTAGCTATAGTTGTGGGGACAGCAGCATAATGCATAGACTTGTTGAATCACTAGGTAGTACACCTGAAACTAATGTTTAACATTGTGTGTCAACTATTAAAACACACTAAAATTAAAATAAAAAAATAAAAAGCACATTAATGCCACTGTTTCTAAACCAATAAAAGGTACTTTGATATTCCACATTGTGCCCCCTTTATTAACTACACTTTATTAAAAATATTTTTATTTATTTCTAGGAGAGAGAGACAGCGTGAGCAGGGGAGGGTCAGAGAGAGAGGGAGATACAGACTCTGAAACAGGCTCCAGGCTCTGAGCTGGCTGTCAGCACAGAGCCGACGTGGGGCTCAAACCCACGAACCGCAAGATCATAACCTAAGCGAAAGTCGGACGCTTAACTGACTAAGCCACCCAGGCGCCCCTATTGACTACACTTTTGAATTTTAAATTACTTCAAATAGCTGTTTATAAAAGTGTCCATGGAATTTATAACAAATGGAAAATGGGGCATCTGGCTTGGTCAGTCAGTCGAGCATGTGACTCTTGATCTCAGGGTTTTGAGTTCGAACCCCATGTCAGGTGTAGAGACTACTTAAAACAAAATCTTTAAAATATAATAATAAAAAATAACAAAATGACAAAAATAATAAATGGGAAATGTACTATTTACTAGCATTAAATATATTTCTCTTTACTGTTATTTAACAAATTACTTTTTAAGAATAGACAGTCTGGCAATGTCACCTTTTATCAACCTTCCCTATGACTCATTTACAGAAAAAAAACTAATTATAAATAATATCCCTAAAAATACTGTTAGTAACTTAATACACACCTCTGAAAAACATTTCTTTATTATAATGAACTCCGGGCACAGTAAAGAAGAAACTGTCAAATACAGAAGAATTTGAAATCCTTAGTATGGAAAGACTTGGTTTGGATAAAAAGTTAGGATCTTGATGACATTATGTTAACTAAAATAAGCCAGATATAAAGAACACTTATATGATTCCATTTACATGAAATACACAAAACACACAAATTCATGGAGACTGGGGGCGCCTGGGTGGCTCAGTCGGTTAAGCCTACGACTTCAGCTCAGGTCATGGTCTCAGTGGGTTCAAGCCCCACATAGGGCTCTGTGCTGACGGCTCAGAGCCTGAAGCCTGCTTCTGATTCTGTGTCTTGTTCTCTCTCTCGGACCATCCCCTGCTCATGTTCTCTCTCTCTCTCTCAAAAATAAATAAACATTACCAAAAACTTTTTTAAAAAAATTCATGGAGACTCAAAATGGGGCGAATAGGGTGCCAGGGGAGGAAAGGAGTTATTGCTTAATGGTTACAGTTTTTGCCTGGAGTAAAGAAAAAGCTTTGGAAATTAATAGTAATTGCACAACATTGTGAATGTAATTAATGTCACTGAATTATACGCTTAAAATGGTTAAAATGGCAAATTTTACGTTACGTATTTTATCAAATCTATAAAAGTTAACAATGTAATATATACTGAATAATATAATGTACATTAAAATGTATAATGTATATTAAGAGTGTATTTAACATACATTTTAAGTGGATGGTATGTGAATTATATCTCATTAAGGTGTTTAAGAGTTAAGAGAAGTTCATAATTTGGTCTTGAAATATTTAAAGGGCTCTGACACAGAAAAAGGCAGAGAGCTGCTCAATGTGACCCTGGGAACAAAACTAGGATCTCCAAAGCATAAATTATAGGGAGGCATATTTCTCACTCAATACAAGGAAGAAAAAAGGGCCAAAGCTGTACAACATCTCTAAGCGTCCCTTCACAAAGAACAGTCACTGGAGGGGTTGCAACAAGGACCCACCTGCCAGGAATGCACAAGGCCCCTCAAGGGTCCATGAACACCTTGATAGTGGAATGCAAAACTGTGCCTACATCGTTTCTCAAGTACAGTTAGATTCTCAAAGGGGACGACAGCACTAGATCTAAAAACTCCAAATTTGAGACTGTACACCCCTATAGGCCATACTCCCCTGTAAGGAGTGTAATGAAAAGAGCATTCTCTACAGTATATGGATACACATGATCTATGGTCCAGAAACAACTAGAGGTGCCCTCAGTATGCAAATGAAATATACTCTCAGGAATGCCCTTGGGCTAAAATTTGGGTAAAAGGAAGATAATATTTAATGGGGTAAGGCCCAGTCAGATTCAGATGCTCCTCTTCTCTGTTCCCATAAAACCCAACAGCTATTCCTCACTCCTTTGAGGTAGTTCTTCCTCACCTCCCTGAATTTTAAGTACCAGGAATGCCCCAAGGCTCAAATCCTCAGACCTACTCCTTTACTTACCCCATAGCATGGGTTTAAATACCCTCTATAAACTCGGAACAACCCATATTTACAATCTCTAGTCTGAAAGTCTCTAAATTCCAGACTATCTTTTTATGGTTTTAGCTCTTAAATATTTAGGTTACTGATCTGAATCTGAGCCATTTTGAGTTCATTTCTGGATACAGTATGAAGAAAAACATCTATTCCTGCATATCAATCAAGTTTCTCAAACTTCCCATGTCCCAAACCAACTTTTAATATGCCTCCACCAAAGCTGCTCCTCCCAGTCTTCCACAGCTCAGTAAATGCTCAGGTTAGAAAAGGGAGTCATTCTTGACTTCCCTTTTTCTCTTACATCCTACATCTAAACCATTTAACAAATCCTGCTGGCTTCACCTTCAACATGTATCAAATGCAACAGCTTAGCACCTCCTCCTCCACTAACCTGGATTACTGCAGTTGCCTTTAGCTGGTCTTCCTGCTCTCACCTTTGCTTCCCTACAGCCTATTTAACAAGTAGCCAGCCATCCTGTTTAAAGTATAGTCTGTCTGCTCTAAACCCTCAGATGACTTCCTGTCTCAGAATAAATGCCGTAGTGCTTCATATGGCCTACAACGTCCTACACAATTTGCCCCTACTATACAAACACATACAATTTTCTGATCTCATTTTCCCCCGCTCCCTCCTTCCTTAAACCAGTACTGTCCAAGGACTTCCGGCTGTACCGGTAACATGCATGCCCTGACTTTCCATTTACCGTTTCCACAGACTGGAATGCTCTTTCGCTAGATACCTCCATGGTTTGGCCTGTTCACCTACTTCTGATCTTTGCTCAAATTCACCTTCTTAGTGAGATCTCCTTTGATCACTGTATTTAAAATAGCAATTGTGTTCCCCCTGCTCATTTCTCCAACCCCCCAACTTTTGCCTTTTCTCCATAGTATTTATCACCATATAACGTACTGTATTTACATATTTATTTGTCTATTTTCCTGCTAGAATGTAAACGTCATGAAAGCAGGGACTTTGATTTGTTCATCTGTATACTCCCAGAGGAATGCCTAGCACATAGTAGGCCTTCAATAAATATTTGTGGAACTAATAAATAGGGCACTATATTATAATCGCCGCCTTCTGTACCTGTCTCCTTAACAGACTGCGAAGCTTTCTGCAGGGAGCGACACTGCCTCATTCACATCTGAATTTCCAGCACCTAACACCAGTGCTCGGCACATAGTTAAGTACTGGTTTGAAATGAACGAATCAACAAGAGAGGCCAAGGAAAATTCTTCGACTTTCACAGTCCCAACTCCACCACTCTTTAATGAGAAGTCGGAGCGTGTGGGTTAACTCAAGGAAGGCGTTTCAATACCAATTCCCAAGACCACAGGCGTATCCCCCCCCAACCCTGCCCTCCGTTATCCCCATTATTAACCCAGTGAGACAATGAGTGACGGTTAGAGCCAGAATTTGAACCACGAACACATCCGATGGAGGAAGTAATCGTGACTTGAACAGATCAAAGAAGGTGACCGGACTCTAAAAAGAAAACACTGTCCCAGGGATAATGGCACGAAGAGGGAAGGGCNCTGTCCCAGGGATAATGGCACGAAGAGGGGGGGGGGGGGGGGGGGGGGGGGGGGGGGGGGGGGGGGGGGGGTGACTACAACCATAGAATCCAAGTCCCTCTTTTGACAGCTGAGGAAACTAAAGCCTAGAAAGGAAAGGGACCTGCCCGAGGTCACCCCGCAAGCTGACGGGGGCGAGAACCCGGCTCATCCCGCTTGCGCGCCGCCCCAGGCGCCTCTTCGTTCCGGGTGGTGCCCTCGGCGCCGAGCCCCCGCTGGCGCACGTGCTCCGAGGTCCCCGGGCGCCCCCCGGCCGGCTGCTCCAGGCCCGTTCCCCACCTCGGATCGAGGTGGGGGCCCACGACCGTGGCCCACTCCCCACGCAGCCCCGGAGCCGGCGGTTGGCAGTGCACACCGCGGAGGTGGGCCCCGGGCTGCGGGCTCCGCGGCCGCCGCTTACCTGGCAGGATCCCGCGGGAACCTGAAGAAGGCCAGGTCCGACTGCGTGCTCTTCCTTGTGCAGTTGGGGGCAGCGCAGAAGTTCGGCATCGTCGCCCACCAGCCAGCCGGCCCAGCCCTCCCCTCCCCGCCTCCTCAGGGCAGCCCGCCCGCCCGTCGGGGCCGGGGAGGGGAGCCAGGCCGGCCGGCCGGCTCGGCGAGGCCGGCGCGCCCGGGGGAGGGGCGGCGGGCGAGAAGCCGCGAGGGGCAGGAGGGGCGCCGCGGTCCGAGGCCGGGCTGGGGACGCGGCTCCACAGTGCTGTGAGCGGCCGGGAGGATTTACCGCCGCCGCCGCCGCTGCCGCTGGTGCACCTCCCGCCCGCCCGGGACGCTGCCGCCTCCTTCCCACAATGCACCCTGGCGCCCGGGGGTGCCCTCTCTTCTCTCAACCTTCCTCCCCCGCCCCCTCCTTTCCGCCGACTTCTCCGCTGGCGGGCACGCGCAAAGAGACGCGCCGGCCCGGGTGTGGCGCGGTGGAGGCGAGGCTTGGCTAGGGCTGCCGCAGTGCGCCTGCGCACAACCTACCCGGCGAGGAGAGGGTAATGCGCATGCGGGCGTGTCTCCCGGGACTCTAGAGCTGGCGAGCCCCCCGGCACCTTCGGTAGGTTTGGCTTGCGCGGGTTTTTGCAGATCTGGGGCGAGCTTGCACGTTATATCCCCGGTGCATCTCTCCTTGCTTGCTTACGTTGCCACCACTTAGGCCTCTGTTGCAGAAATCGCCTCACACTCTTAAGGGCCGCGGAATCGGGAAGACCTTTCTGACAGATTGGCACACTTTTGGCAGATCCGCGTGCACAAGTTGGACGGAGACGCGTAGGTTTCATTTTCCCCAGCCCTGCAGCTTCTCTTTGGCCCTGTGAGCTTCTCAGGACAGGCCTCCCCAGCCTCCATCCGGAAGGCGAGGGACAAAAACTCAGAAAAGCAATTACTCCTCCCTGGTGAGGCTTCTAGAGGAGTATTAATAACGACACGATTCCACTTGCAGCCCTGTAGAGATCGGTTTCTCAGTCTTCCCTTACAGTTGTGATCTTAACGCTCCCGTGTTGTTTAAGTGCCACAATGAGTGACCGCTATCTAGAACAAAGGATTAGTATCAAATTTTGCGTCAAATTGAACAAGTCTGCAAGTGAGACCCACCACCTTTTAAAAGAAGCTTATGGGGATGAAGTCATGTCCAGGGCCAGAGTTTTCGACTGGCACAAAAGGTTTAAAGAAGGGCGGGAAGATGTTAGAGATGACGCCCGAAGTGGCCGTCCAGTCACCCACCGGACGGATGAAAATATTCAGAAGGTCAAGGACTTGGTTTGTTCAAACCGGCGGTTGACGGTGAGGATGATGGCCGAAGAGTTAAATTTAGATAAAGAAACTGTTAGGCTCATTCTGAAAGAAAACTTGAATATGAGAAAAGTGTCTGCAAAAGTTGTAACAGGTATTCTGAAGGACGAACCTAAGCCTGGGAAACTTGACTGTCGGTCTGATCTCTCAAAGGAAACTAGGAAAAATTGCTCATGTGTAGGGAAAAAGATGACAAGTTCTGAAACATGGACCCATCTCCAATGTGAAGCTGGTGGGCAAATACCTCTGCCTGTATCTCATCCCCAGAACCACTTCCCCACCAGCCAGCTTCTACAGGTTTGCTCATCAACAAGTCTTCCCACCAGAGCAGCTCAGGACTGGTTCACACCATGGTGAAAGGACTGTGAGGTCACAGAGCCTGAGGTGGAAAACTGCCTCACAGTTAGGCACCTTCATTTGGCGCTCCTCCATTTTCAGTCTTTACTATCCTTTCCCACATGTCACAGCCCTCCTAGTGACTCTTGCTGGACTGCTGGGCCATCTCCCAGTTTTGAAGAACTTGGCTGTTGACTTCTGCTCCTGGCTTGTTCTAGAACTTTTGCTTAACAAGTTCGAATCTCCTTGCTGCCCAGACCTTAGCTGTGGTGGCTCTCCTGGTCCTGGGTTCTCAGCATTCTGCCTCAGGGGATCATACCATTAAAAGGTGGGAACTGGACCCCCTGGGGTCTTTCTGTGCTCAGGAAGGCATATTCTTCTGGGAGGACCCCAAAAGAAGGCCTACAGCTCCAGCCTGCTTTACAGGCAGGACCTGAGGTACGGTACAGAAGGTACATGCCGACCTAGTGAGCAATGCTAAGGGCATATCCAGCCCAAATGACTCCATGGGAGCCCCTCAGTATGGAGGGGTTGCCCCCCCTAATCTGCTCACAGACCTGTCTCTCACAGAAGATCTGGATTTGTTTCCTTAGTGCCATTCTTTGCACCCCCACTCGTTTGGCTATCTCCTCTCCTTCTCTGAAGGAGGAGGATTTGGTCCTAGAAAATATAAGTGAGGAGACCCAGGTCCAAGCTGTGATGTGTGAGGAGGAAGACTAGAGGATACTCTAGACCTTGAATTAAGGGAGTCTGCTGCCTATGCACTGATTCCCACACAGCTGCCTGTTTTCCTAAAAACGAGTTACTGAATGAATGCCAACACTGTCTGGTGTTTTTTGAGTACCTGAAGTTTTTAAAATACTGCTGGGCATTGAAAATGTGAACTTATAAAACATCATCACCACAGGGAGGGTGGACTTCCAGATGAGATAATTCCAGAACTGGATCCATAGGAAGGGTGAGACAGGAGGCCAGGAAATTAAGGGAAGCTTCCCAAGCAGGTGAAACAGCTTGAGGCTTCAAACCTGCATCAGTATGAAAATGATGCTGAGATAGCAAAGTCTGGAGGAAGATAATAGTGTTGCAGAAGATGAACAATTTGGGATAACTTGCTTCCCCTCCTCTGCCCTAACTATGCCATTACTTTGTAAATTGCTTCTCCTGAGCAATTTGATCACTTATTTGATTATCTAATTTTTCCGTCAGACCCCCTCAAAAAAGCAGTCTGCAAGTTCGTACTCCTTTGTGTCTTTCTGCCTCTCTGCCAGGATTTATGCAGTGGAACTTTTCCCAAGTGGATTCCAAGTAATACCACATAGACTGGAGACATCTCAGAAATGCCTGATGGAGGTGCAGTGGAAGACGGTTAGAAACAGCATTTCACAGGAATAGCCAGTGTCTGTGTTTTACCCAAGGATTTTCACATGCAAAGCTCCTATTATTGAACTAGTAAATTAGTAAACCATATTGGTTGAGAGAAACCCAGTACTTATTTATTCAACATAGTTATTTTTAGTTCTGTTCTTTCACTGTCTCTATCCTCTTCAAAAAATGGCAAGTTCCCTGTCAGTTTTGAGACACCCTGAAACCTAGACCTTATCCCACAAATGAAACATCTTGTGCAAGAAAACTTAAACCAAACAACAGCTCATAGACTTCTACCTACTTAGCGATTTGTAGACACTCTATTTTAGGTCCGTTATGTCTTCCACATCAGAAGAGGTTCTGGGTTCCCCATAAGCACTTGCCACCAGGGACACTGCATTTCTGGAACAAAGGCCCCGTACCTGGCTATTGCAATTTTGGGACTGAACCTCATATTAATCCTTGATAGGCTCATTGGTAATTGTTGAAGAATCGTATGTTCCTTGGCCAGGGCCAGGTTGCTACAACAGTATCTCTAGGCAATATCTCCAACCTGAGAGAACTTATTTCTGGACTCTTTCCTGTCCTGTAAACAGGGCTGGAATGAGCCTTCCAAAGACACTGGACCAAGACCATGCTGGAGTATAGGGTGCCAGAAGCAATGGTGGCCCAGACAGGGTTTGGACACAGCTACTGGAAGCAGGTAATCAAGAGTGAATTCAAATTGTTACAAGTATCTATAATGAAAAGGACTTAATGCTTTACTTTAGATCTTGTGCTGAGTACTCGTCAGGTCGAACTATGGCAACTACCTGACCCCACTGCCCATTTGCGAGGCTTCCTGGAAAATATTCAATGAAATGATAATAGACCCTAAGATGGCTCAGATTTGGAGAAGTAAAATTTCTGCCATAACACAGCAAACCACCCATACATGGCTGCTCAGAATCACTAAATCCCAAGCCAGACCATGCTCTCCTAGCAGTATTCCCAGACGTGAGTGTTCTCCTAAAACAGTATCCCTTCTTGTCCACCCACCAAATCTGTTTTATTGCCAACACACATTTTAACCCTGAACTGTACCTTACCACCCAGGCTTCTTGAGCTCCTAATCCTGTAGTCTCAAGAATCCGGCCATCATCATCCCCCAGGCTCTTGTCCTTGGCGTTTATTATACACCTCTGTTTATTCTCTACCAGGTTGCTCTCTCTCCTCTGTTACTCTGGTAAAACAGCTTTGTTTTCTGGTTCAGGATCACACTTCTCTGCCTTTTGGTCAAGATTTTCCACTACAACCCTAACGTTTATTTTTATTTTATTATCTTTTTAATTTTTTAATGTTTTATTTATTTCTGAGAGAGAGAGAGAGCGTGAGCAGGGGAGGGTCAGAGAGAGAGGGAGACACATTATCTGAAACAGGCTCCAGGCTCTGAGTTCGTTGTCAGCACAGAGCCCCACGCGGGTCTCAAACCCACGAACCGCGAGATCATGCATGACCTGAGTCGAAGTCGGATCTTTAACCGACTGAGCCACCCAGGCGCCCCACAACCCTGATTTTTAGATCCCTTTTCTAGCTCTCCACCTTAACCCTACAGTCTTGAGTGGGGAAATTGGCCCCAGGTTGCTTTCCTATCCTCAAGAAGCAGGGTGGGGCGACCCGGAGGTATGTGTTCTTTTTGTTTTATCTAAGAGACATACGAGGAAGAAGAAAAAGTAGTTCCCTCCCACTCTTAGCCTCCAGTGGTTCTGCTCCCCAGGGCCAACCAGTGTTAACAAGTTTCTTAAAGGGGCAATTTGGTTACCTCTGATGCTCAGGAGTCATGGAATTTTTTCAGAAATAGAAGATCCAAATCCCATCCCCTCAGGGTAAGCGCCACTGAGAAGCCTGGCTCTCTATAGGACATCGGGAGGAGAGCTGGCCATCTGCAGACCTTGACTGTAATTCTCAAGCGCAACACACAGTCATATAATGAATCTCTTTGGCTTTCAGCCTGATCCGCCTCCCCATCTGCATTCTGGTTCAAAATACACATGGAATGTTATATTCCACAACTGGAAGGCCAAGAGAATAGACGCTTTCCAGAGCAAATCATCCATCAGTGATTTTATCTAATTCTTCCTCTGCCTTTCACCCCACACTACTTTACTTCCACCTGTCCCACTCGTAGTGAACAAGAACAGAAAGAATTAAACACTCACCAATCTTTGACTTCAAAAAAATGTGGATAGTTCTGCAGTCTTCTGAATTCTGCCCCTGGCTCTGAATCCCCATTGAAATGTTATTATTTGGGAAGAATGTGTACTGGCGCCTGCTTCCCAGAGCCTTCCTTTCAACTCCGTTTCTTAGAGTTCAGATTTCCCAGTGAAGGTGCCTGGATAAATCTGGGTGCCAAATGACTTAAGGCCATCTAGTAAAGGAGGGGGATACCCTTGAGGAGCTATCTCTATGTCACATGCACTGCTCAGCCAGCCTATTTGCAGACCACCTCACCACTAGGCTCCTTGGGATTGGGTCCCACCAGGGTCTCCTGTGGCTCAATTAGCAAGAGGTTCCTTTGCTGGAACTGTATATGTAACTCTGCATTCTCCCAACTGCTTCTTGGTTGGATCAGACCTCTCAGATTTTACCAGGCTTTACACGCTCTTCAAGGCAGCCATTGTGTATTTCTCTTCTCTAGTCTGCCTTATCAGATCCTTGCAAATACTGGCCCGGTTGCATCACCCCTCTCCCAGTATCAATATCTAGAAATAAAAAATCTATAGTGAGGAACTTCAATACTTCCAACAACCCGTGGATCTCAACGAAGGGGTCAGCAAAACCTTTTTCTGTAAAGGAAATGTCTTAGCATTTGTGGGCCATCCAGTTGGTGTTGTAACTGCTCAGCATTTTATTGCAAAAGCAGACCTGGCTAACATGGAAACAGATGAACATGGCTGTGTCTTAATAAAACCTTATTTACGGATAGTGGAATTTGAATTTCACATAATTTTCACATGTTACAAAATACTATTTTGATTTTGTTTGACCATTTAAAAATGTAAAACACCATTTTTAGACTTCTTAGCTTATACACCGCAGAAGAACTGATAGTGGGCCAGGTTTGGCCCATGGACCGTAGTTTGCCTACCCCTGGTCTAATGCACGTAAAGTGTGTGTATAAAATGACAGACGACTGATCCTCTTCCATCAATAATGTTACTGCCATACCGAGCCACTGGTGTCTGACAACTTACTAGATAGAAATTGTGGGATATTGAAGGGAATCCTTATGATGCCAGGAGAGTGAACTAGAACTAAATGATTGACTAGTTTATCTTAACCATACTCTGGTTCACAAGACCAGTTCTATGCTGTTTTTGACTAAAAATGACATTACACAAACTACGACCTATATTATGCCCTTACAATATCTCAGAAACAATTTTGGCAGTACTGCAAATGGTTCCAAGCTACAACCAGTGATGACAATGAACTAAAGGTAGTTCCGAAATTGCCTTGACCACAGGCAGCATTTGAATGAGTTTATATTCTTACCTATGAAAGTGACTACTATGGAAGTGACAGCACTCACCCTTTAGTGCACGCTGGTGCCAAGGGTGTACCCTTGTTTTACTTGCTTTTCCCCTAAAGAGAGCCCTATTGTGTCACCTTTATTTAAACTGATTTTCCAAAATTGAGATAGACTCTCAGGGTTGAACAGATGTTTACAAAGGTATTCAATCCAGCAAGTCAAGTTTTCCTTGAATCCAGGAATGACCAAATACGACAGCTGCTGAAAAAATGCATCTGAAAGAAGATTCTGTGTTAATTCAAAAAACTTTTGTCGAGCGACTGCATGGGCCAGGCACTGTCCTGTGTGCCGAGGTACAGCAATGGACAAAACAGACACAGGCCTTAGATTGGACAGTCTGAAATCTAATTATATTACTCTTCACCCGTGTAGAACTCCTCTTCTGTGTGCTCACACTAACTTATTGTTAATTGCATACCTGGAAATGGGTATGACCTTTGCCATAAGTCTCTGTGCCACGGTCATGAAGCCTGTCCAACTGCATGAATAATTTGAGGACTGTATGTTCCACTTAGACTTTATTATCCTTTAGACAGATCTGTATTTGTAGGAAAACATGCTGGCAATGGTGGAAGTGTAAATTGGCAACAGCTTTCTGAAAAGCAATTTGGCAGTATCTATCAGGAGCTTTAAAAAATGTTTATATCTTCTGATCCTCTAATTCCGCTTCTGGGACTCTGTCCTAAAGAAATAGTCTAAAATGTGGGCAGAATTTATGCTTCACAATCCAGAGTCCAACAGTAGAAAATTGGTTAAATAAATTACAGTATAACCGTACAATCCACTATTATGCAGTCATTATAATTAACGTTTATGAATAGTTAAAACAGCATGGCAAAATGCTTATGTTAAGTGAAAAGAGTGATATGCAAATAGTATATATAAGTCCAAAAATGTCTTTTTTTTTAAAGTTTGTTTATTTTGAGAGAGAAAGCGTGAGTGGGGGAGTGGCGGAGAAACAGGGAAAGAGAGACAATCCCCAGCAGGCTCCGTGCTGTCAGCACAGAGCCCGATGCAGGGCTTGAACCCACCAACTGTGAGATCGTGACCTGACCTGAAGCCAGTCCCTGAGCCACCCGGGCTCAGTCTTTTTTTTTTTTAATTATTTTTTAAAAATGTTTTATTTATTTCTAGGAGAGAGAGAGAGAGACAGCGTGAACAGGGGAGGGTCAGAGAGAGAGGGAGTCACACACTGAAACAGGCTCCAGGCTCTGAGATGGCAGTCAGCACAGAGCCCGACGCGGGGCTCGAACCCACAAACCGCGAAATCATGACCTAAGCGAAAGTTGGACGCTTAACCGACTAAGCCACCCAGGCGCCCCCTGGGCTCAGTCTTTTAAATGACTAGAACAGATATGCCAACTCTGTGTATTTGGGTTATAAGCATTTTCTTAAATTTCTTTTTCTTTTTTAAACACTATGTGTCCCAATGTTATTACTTTTATCAGAATAAAACAGTAGCACCAAAAGGCAGCAATGGAATACAGTGAAGGCCAAACCGCTAGCTGGGCCCATGAATAATGAACTGGCTGGGTGGACATGGAGGCGGACATTGCATTGGTAGCAAGAGTGGGACAGAAGGGAAAAGGGCCTGCTTTAGAAGAAAGGCAGGTGACCCGGATCCCTACAGAAAAAAACCAAGAGGTATGAGAAGGTACCATGCTACGTAATCGTAGGTAAGTAAAAGAGCACGAACAGATCAGGTATGTTCTGACAATGGAAAAGGATATAGAATACCCTCCCGAGCCAAATTAACCTCATTCTTGCATTCTCTCATACAAAGTAAATATTCTCAAGATGGGTTTTATTACAGTTGAGTCTCTCAAGCATCCTTGAGCCTTCCGTATCATTTTTTTAGGCTAGAATTGCCTGTCAGTGTGCCAAGCCTGCCTCCTCCCATACTGGGACACTGAAGCCACACAGATGTAACATGGAAATATTACACTGAGAATTCCACAGCATATCATGAGTCATCCTAATGTTGTAACTTACAAAACTAAAATTTGCAAATGTTATTTTGGTGGAATCTGGAGTCGCTGTGCTTTTTATTTATGTCTTCAGAGTAATCGTGTTATGGGATTTGAAAGTGAGAGATGATGTAGATAGTGCCTGCCCATAGATGAAATCGTTGT